TATGTGAGGAGTTATGGAATTTTCAATCGTTATTTTGCCTCACAACTGAAGTCAGTCTGTGCCGAACTACCGAGGAGTTTCATTCACTGCCTGGACTCTTCGGTGCTTCGTTATCCGACAAGTCCCAGGGAGATATGGACCAATGACTTCCAGGCCAGCATTTGATGGCCGTTCGGACATGGATAGCTGGTCGACTCACCGACAGTAAATCGAACTACTGACCCTATAACCACGGAATCTACACCACGTGGTCACATGTTTACTGGCTCCTCGAGTGACGACATCTCAGAGGAAGGGTTCATTTGTCGCATAAATTATCCTTCTTTCTGAACTACTTACGGCTTGTTGATTGTGTGAGGAGACCTAAGAGATTTTAGCTGAGATTTTTGTTTTGTGAATGAGGCCAAAGTTTGCTGAAAAGTCGAGAAGCACTGTACAACTGTTTCAACCAGCTGTTTCATCAGCAGCATGCATCTCATGATCCTCCAAAGGACTCCAACTTGCATCCCCGGGTGTCGTTTCAAGACTTACTTCGCAATTGGACAGGATATAGTTCCAACCATTACTCAGTCAGTTTGCATCCCGTGGTCATGTGATGATTGACTTCTTGAATGGACCTATCAGATGAAGGTTTCACACTTTGTAAATTAGTCGTCTTTTGAACTACTCACAGCTTACTGATAATATAAATTGATTCGGAAGCTTCGTACAGTGCCTCCTGACTTGGCTATATGGCCGAATTTAAGTTGCAGGATAAAATCTAAATTTCTTGTTATATTACGTATTTTGGTCAAGTTGGTATTCAGGACTTCTACCATGAGCTCGGGTGAGGCCGAGAGATATCTGGCACAGACTCCCCAACTAGTCACCGTGCTTTGTATTTTCAACACGTTTGCAATGAAATTAGACTCCAAAATGAGTGGAAACGTTATTCCCTGAAACACTCCAGAATTTAGTTCCTATTACTCCTGCATCTGTTTTTTGCACTTAGGAACTTACTTAGGACACACACTCACTCCATCACGAGCATCCAGGTTTACACTATTTGCCGAAAAACTCCTTGCTGACATCGCCGTCAAATGCCATGATGTTACTGGAGGCATGCACGTGATCTAATCCTATACAGAGCAAATGGAAGCAGCTCATCTGCCACGGCTCGTTTTGAGATTCGAAGATGGCGACCTTACCCCCTCTCAGATACTTCAACATGTGTGCTGTCTGATTAGCGGCAACATAACTGCCGACTTCTAGCTTTATCGACAAAAGGATTCCCACCAAATCGCTCTGGCTCACTCATGTGGCAAAACTTATGTATACAGTGGATACGCTGCTCCAGCTTTTCTTCAACTCCTGCATGAACCTGAAAACATCTGTGAGTGACGTGGCAATACCACTCTTCGGTTAGGTCACAACGGCAGTAACCAGTCGCCAACTTGAATCACTAATTCAACGGGATCAGTAAGCAAAGTCCTAAAGCACTTGCCAATTTGTTTTCGTGCCCACGATCTCAGGAAGGAAAACATATTGACATGTCGAACTCAAGTGTGCGGCGATACCCGTTGACGGTGTGCCGAAATATTGGTGTAAAGGTGGGTACTACTGATGAGGCGTGTAAGTTGCATGTTTTCTCGTAAATTCATTTCGCGTCTCTTGAAAAATGAGATCTATTACGTAACTTGTGGATTCGCTTTGTAGCATTTGCTTAAATTTGAGTAACAGTCAATGAACATCCAGGAAAGTTCAGGAAGACGCGTTCAAAGAGAGGATGGATATTCAGTTCTGTAAACAAGATGCATATGAGAGTTTCGCTTCTCTGTCCAATAGTTTGTAACTGTTCAGTTGCATCGAAGGCCTTCTTTCTTTCACTGGTAATTCAGTTGCTCCAAGCGGTTGCATACCGCGTGGCTTGATCTTTTTTAGCGGATTTGGCAAAAGATTAGTTTCATCAACAATCATGAGGCCACCAGCAATGCATGCTTCTCAGCTTCTCACGACAGGTTTATTATTGTTATTAGGCCTACGAACCCCAAACTATTCGCAAACAAACCAAGTGTAAAAATCTAACACAGTATTGATGAAGCGCGTCTGAAAACTTGGTATGAAATCATAACATTTGTTGGTCTGCTGCCTGGTCGGATAGTTGGTAGATCCTCAAAAGTACCGGATCCTCACATACCGTTGTCTTTGCCAAGCCGCACACCGTCATGCTCTGGAACAACGCCATACGTACAGAAGAGCCGTGATTTTCGCATTCCTGTGGTTCCAGGAACCATTAGATTCACTTTATTGGTCTGTTCTTAACAGGCTTCCACAGCAAGAAATGCCGCATATGTTTCTGGATATTAGAATTACAAATATGTGAAAGTATACGAGGCGCTCTTCAAGAGATTCCGTGCACAAAGTGGTGTCGCACGAAAATACTTATTCTCTCCGTTCCTATTCAATTTGTGATCGACAAGGTAATCAAATTTCTGCTCGAAGGTCTCCATAACATTGGTGTTCAGGTACCTGATAACAAAAACTTGTCGGTCTGGAATATGCGTACGACATCGTTCGCACTCTCATCGAGTAGAACAAGTCACTGAGGTTTTTTGGATGAAATGATAAAGTTCCTTCCGTCTTCTGACATGCAGTTTGTACCAGTAAAACTCACAATACAAAAACAGACACTTGAGTTTGTGGAACCTATCTGTAAAGTTGTATTGACAGGTGAGATGAATATACAAGTCCCTGAGATGTATGATGATTTGAGGGAACAACGGTGACGAGTCACTATATCCATGAGCCTCAAATAACTTGTGTATTAGGCTGCAGTACAGGCTGTTTTGTTGTACGACTGTGAGACGTGCCCTGTTAGAGCAGCGTAATCAGGTTTTTCAGAAACCGGTATCTCAGATCCATAGTCTTTTTGGCCTCGTGTCGGTGAATGCGCAACTAACCGATTAGAAAAACCAGATCGTGTAACTGAACATGGTGTTCCGCACCAAAAGATGTGGAGGCTTGGTCGTGTATTAGCTTAAAAGGGTGCTATCTTTTGTGCCTAATTCAGAATGGCGTGAACAGAGGTGGTAAATGTTTGACCTGAGAGGTGGACGCGAAAGAGGATGCGAGAAGTCTGGGTGCTGCCACTGCGACTCATCTTTCAGGATGGCGTCCGTATGATTCTCCTGTGCATGGTTAGAAAAGCTGCAAAATGTAGCTGGTAATTTATGTCAGTTTATTCAAAGTTTCTGGTAAAGTAGGAACTGCGGAAAGGCTGCGGTAGGCAAGCACTAAGTCCCTCACTTATCCATTCGTTATTTTTTCTTCACAATAGGGCTTTCAAATTATGTTGTCTGGCAGTGAACTGTTATTATTGTGCTATCGATGTGGTTGATGATGTTGGTTCCCTGTACAGAAGTCAAAAGCACATTGATGGTGGGTCATGGTTACATATGACGTAATTCGTCTATACGATCGGCATTTTTGACAACAGAAAACCCTTCCTAAACTCAGACATAGCATACTAATCATACGGTTGCTGAAGATTCTTCGAAAGCCCGTGGCCGGAGTCCCCCTTCGTGGGGCTCATCAGATAGGCACCCTTTGAGTTTCTGTCAACTTTACCTTTACCTTGAACCCAACTGGAAATGACCCACCAAAAACTCTCGCTTACACACTAATTTTGTTTTGACGCGAGGCCCAACTTAATCCATGTGAATCTCTCATTCGTACCAGCTAAAATAGAATATGAATTATTATGTATATGAATATGAAAAATGTCACGAACAAGAGATTCAACTGGATTCTTGGATTACAACTTCCTCAAAAGGCTCTTTGCTCCACCGCCCGAGGAGTGGAACAGAGACAGGGGAGGTTGAACAACGACTTGACAGCGAAGTATAAAAGCCATTATCAGCAAACTCAGCTCCGCTGGTGAGTGCCGTCTCCCTGGATGGAGACCCCGAGAAAGGACACATCGATGGTTAGGGACACTGTCAGCCACGCCCTCAATGGCGCGCGTACATCCAAGCTGTTGCCTTTTTGCCAGCACCTCTCTTCCCAGTTATATCAGCTTCAGTCTCCAATGCGCAACTATCTACTCCACCTCCCTAAGTTATCTGTGAACGAAACTGCAACAGCTATAACCACTGTACGACAAGTAAACGTTTCTTTAAGCTGATAATGATGATGATTATGATGATGTTGACCTTTCATTGCCTTTTTACTGCGGTGTAGCCTTTTGGTTATAAATCAGATAGCGCGCAAGTCCTGAACCGGAAGCTTGTTTTTGGTATTCAAAGCAGTTCATCCAACAGAAGATATCACCGCCGATTAGGTTCATTAATGCGGTTGTGTTCACTGGTTAATTCACAAAGTTCTGACTGGTAAGTGTGGAACCATGCGACGGTTCTGAACTTCCAAGTTGAGAAGCCTTTATCTCAGCTTGGAATTGCAAATGAGCACGAATAAAAAATGAGCTTTCACCGTCGTTGAAAACGATGTCCTTAATTTTGTGAGTCAGTAGCAGTTAGACGAGAAAGAGCTACTCAAGAAAATTTTTCGAAAGAAAGGTATTTATTGATACTGATACCCAGCGCCGTTCATTAGTTGATTGAAGAGAGGGATAGCTTTTGGGGCACATATGAGTGTTCTGGCGACATTTCGATCTGAAATTCAATGCAGTACGTCCTAGTGACAGGGGGGTTTCAAAGATCGCAGGCCTTTCAAAGAAGAGCAGTTATCTCAGTTGATTGGGGAAATTTTCAGCTCTTTTCTACGGAGCCCATGTGAAGAACTTTTCGTTCTACTTGGTGCAGATATTTTTCTGGAATTCCGGCCTCCCTGTGGAATGTGCAGGAAAATACAAGTACTGTTGAAATTCCAAATTGGCGTGTAACAACAACAAGTGTTATTTGGTAAAGCAATTCGGAATATTTTATTTGCCTCTTGTCTCCAACTAAGTTCATCATTGAAATTCCGTATGTTTTTAGAGCTCATATCATTATTGACTTTGGACAACTTAGCAAGACTAAACTAGCATAGATAATCCCTGTTTCGGTCGAAAAGTCGCCTGGTGTAAACAAGGCGTAGCGCAGTTTGTGGATTTTTCTCTTGAGTGGACCCAGCCCTTGCTGATGTTTATGGTAATCAGAGGTAACGTAATCTAACCGGATTGTAACACAACGCCAAGTACGATAGCAATTCGGCTTCATGAATTCTCTCGATCAACGAACTCGCTATCGACCGTGCTTTCTGTAAGTCGATTCCGTCGGCATGAAAGTTGGGCTCAGACTAAGTCATCAGAATGCAATTGGGTGAGTGGTCACTTGTTCCCAATCCCAAAATCTGTCTTCACACGCCTGGCTTTAAACTAAAATAAGCAAATGAATGGGAACTTTTCCAGATGCTTACGACGGTGAATGAATGGTCAACCAACGTTTTCTACACATGTTTCTGATAGTTCTCGCAACCAAAGGTAGTGACAGCAGATAAATATTGAGCTGAATGAGGATAAGATCAGCGAACCTTCACAAGAAACTCACAAATGTACTACTTATTCTGGATACAAACTATTTACTCCTTGGGTCGCTGTAATGTACGGTGGACTCTAGAATAAATTTGCTCAAGTGAACCTAATAGTGACTCAGTTTTGAAGGCATCTACTCCCGTCATTCCCGGAGAAGTTTATTCAGAACCGCAGAATAAACCTAGCTCAGGACACTCAACGGCCAAAAATAATGAGAAATGGTTCTTATCCACTTATTGCTCTTTTCTTCACTTCCAATCCCACTCAGTCAAATCAAAGCCAAACTTATCTCACTCTGTCAGTATGACTACAACCGAACGGCCTGTTCACCGTTTCGCCCTTAACCCCCGTTCAGAGTATCACACAGCAAACACTGATTCTAAATTCTATTTCTGATGATTTAGTTCACACTCCATCTTTACTTGAAGCACTTAACGTAGGATCCACGACGGTTTCAGACATCTTCAACTGCCATGTGAGTCATTACTTCGTATTTCCAAATTTCATCTTTTCAGCACCTTCCACAGTATTTCGAACTCTCATCTGATGATAATGTTCATTATCTAAATGAACCAACCGTGGTTTTTAACCAAATTCGACGAGCGACTGGGGAAGGTGATACTGCTTAATCAGTAGTGACTCTTTCGAATGCTGCGATTTGTATTAACAACTCTGTAGAGAATGAGAAGAGTCTTGGAGTAGACCATTCCAAAGCCATTGCTGCAGATGCGAGGTGCCTAAGAATAAACAGGCGTGTCGTTGTTCTTTTTAATATTGTCACGTCCATCACATCAGACTTGACAGTAGTATCCTCGAGGTTCTATCGTCATTATTTGGGGCCCTGTACCCAGTGCATCAGAAGTTGACTTCGCTATTCTGGTAGCGCAGGCCGTATTTGATTAGCTTGCCTGCTTTTTTGAATTAATTACAATAAAAAATTTCAATGTTCACTTGATAGTTGAGGATCTGGGTGCGCGGTGTTTTTGTGAAGCTGTGGTCATGCTGGAACAATGGCCGATTATTTCTCTGCGACTTTCATTAACTTATTGGTCTGGAGAAAAAACCTACGGCATGTGGGATAAACAAGCTACAATCACCAGGACCACGTGCAGTGACATAAATTGTCTGATCTATGAACTGGGAAAAGCTTCAGGGTAAAAACAGCCGGTATGTATAATTCACTACTAACTAACCTTAGTTCCCGTAACTTTCTTTCTTTTGCTTCTGCCAAACGCATTCGGCGTAGCCTAGACTCTTCCTCCAACCGAACGCCTTCTTCAAAGAAGGCATTCCTCTCTGCAATCCGTTCTTGTTCCTTCAGACATATCTGTTTCCGAATTTCCTCAGCATATTTCTTGTTCTTCTGGTCTGCTTCGGCCCGCTCCCGCTGATCGTTTTCCATTAGTTCTTTCTGTCGTCTGAAATCAATTATGCAAACAATCGGTTCACATTGAAATTTTTTCCGTAATCCAAACTGTCATAGATTCAATCAGTCTGGTGATAAGCCTCAAACACAAACCTCGACAACGATCGGTATCAGTAAACCGCCATTTACACGGAAATTCAACTCGGATGGATCAGTAAAACAGTTTCATCGGCACTGTGCTCTCGAAACGAAACAGATTAGTTATTCAGTTTGTTTCCAGCTCAAACACAACCTCGACAACGATCGGTATCAGTAAACCGCCATTTACACGGAAATTCAACTCGGATGGATCAGTAAAACAGTTTCATCGGCACTGTGCTCTCGAAACGAAACAGATTAGTTATTCAGTTTGTTTCCAGCGGGTCCATTGAAATATGCCTTCAACAGTGCATACTAATGGAAAACATCTTGAGTGAAAGCTATCATCAAGAAAGTTTGAAATCTTTCCACTTTAAGAATATACCCAAAAATCCTCTGTTTATTGTAGTTGAGCAGAATAACCAACACTCCAACGGGTGTGTGAAGAGTGCAGGTGAACTGGGTCGATAGCAGGGTATAAAAACGCAGTCACTAGGTGCACCGTAAACCTGAATGGACCCACTCTTTGAGGTGAGTATTTAACCTAGGGTACCCAAAATTACAAACTTTATTGGAGTTCATATATTGTAGCAGTTTCTGAACGCTGGTTGTGAGCAGACTTTTACGCTTTGCGGAGGGAGATGTCTTTTACCAAAGTGAAGCAAAACCGCAAGGATAACACGCCACTTTTCGTCTTAGCCTTTTTGAGAAGACCCACTCTGTTTGTTTCTTGAATAGCTAGTTTTCTCCGTGCAGAAACGTTATGTACATGGCTTTTAGTACTCTTAGTTAACTTTTATGAGTTCCTTTTCATGTGAGCATTCAGGGAACTATTCACAGGATTTCCGCAACCTCCTTAGCTGACCTGACACAAAACGGTTTAAAGGGCTCGGAGCCGACTTATCTTCCTACTGGATGCGGCAAAATTGAAGTGATTATGGGAAAATAATAGGTTCAGAACGCGCAGCCCCCTCTGGTCCTCACTGATTGGAAGTTTATAAAATTGGAACTGGACGATAAAAAGAAGAGAAAATCAATATAAATCAGGTTCTATGATTAACGCTGTGAAAAGGTGTTATGTAAAAATTGATCGGCTTGTAAGTGTGTCGGTCATGCGAACAGGCCACTGAGACACGTGTGCGAATGCCTCCTGAATGTACAGACTGGAGTACAAACGGCCTGAGTCGTAAGCACAGCTTGCTATTAGACGGATCTTGGTAACCATATAGGGCAATTTTGTGCCAGTAAACAAAAACTAGTCAAGCATTTCGACGCCAAAATTCGTCTCAGGATCAATCTTCTCGACTACATGCAATATAAGAAGTATGTCTACATGCTAAGGAGAGAGTATATAGAAGCCTTTGTCACTCACTTCAAAATTCTTTCAAACTCCATACGTTCTCGTCCAGCCTCAATGGCCAGTAAACNCTCTTCCGCCGGGCGATTCTCGCCCTCTTAAGTTCGTCCTCAGTCTCTTTCTTTTTCAGGGCATCTGCCCTCTCCTTCCGACGCCATTCCCGTTCCCTGGCTTCTGCAGCCCGCTTTGCTCTCAAAGCATCTCTTTCGGCAGCCTCATCAGAGGCTCTTTCTTGGAGTGCTCGTAGACGGGCGATTTCCAACTCCTTTTCCAACCGCACTTGTGCTTGTTCAGCTTCGTATGCAGCTTCCCGTTCCTACAGCGTAATAAAAATGAATTAGGGATTCATTTTCGTGGGAAGTGGCAAAAACCGTTAGTACACTATGTGGTGCCCTACATGACCACTGATCGTCCAAATCCAGGCGTTTTTAAGGTTGTAAATTAGTAATGCTTGCCGGATTTTCAGCACAAAAGGAAATCTCAAGTGAAAACCAGTAGCCGTTTCATCATCATCATCGTTGAGAGCATGACATCAGAGTTCACCACCGATGCTTCGCTGCCGTACAACCATGATTTATTTGAAAGCCATATTGTGAGGAAAACAATAAATGTGGACGGGGAAGTTACTTAGTGCTAGCTTACTAGGTTCCTACATCTCGAGACACTCATTCAGGCAATCTAGATAGAGTCTGGCAACAAGATCGCCACCGACATCGGTTGGCAGTCAGATCTTACAGCTTCTCCAACCAAGCACTTCGTCAACTGGTGTATTCATGGAATGGCACCAAGTTCAACATTCATCCACGCTGGATAGTTTGCAAATTTAGGATTTTGTCGATCATCTAGCTTTTTTCGTCGATTAAAGGCTGACCCCACGATCCAGATTGTCCGTGGTCCGAACTCATTCTAACCGTTTTGTTTGTTCCTGCTTATGCTCGGACAACCTGGCAGTGCTTCAGTACTCCGGAGTTGCACAGCCGTAGTGCGCTGAAGCGTCAGAATAAAACCGAGCAATAAAGGAGAAAAATACCGAATGTAAATGAACATTTGTAAAGGTTTCCTTTCTTATGATGGGACAGAGATCAGATAGTCTCACTTAGATGGAAAAATCTAGCTCGAAAAGCTTTTTCTATCATCGCATGCGCTAAGTTTGCTAACCCTGGAAATTGCTTCGCGTTAGCAATATTCACTGTGGCACGATCCGTTACGAAAACCGCCTACCCATCTTATGTCGTACGTTGAAACACGTTTTAGCCAGCTGCAACCGAGTATCATCTGTCAGGCTGGTTTCATACATGGGAATACATATAAAGTAACTAGGAATCTCCGGTTCAGTTAAATCCCGAATTTGAGTTTCAGTATTCGGTGACACTGCTGTCAGGACTGCATACATTTCTCAACGGACAACGCTGATATGAAAACACGCAAATTCTGACCACCAGTAGAAGAATCATTGAGTTCTTCAAAACTGAACTGTAATCGAACATATTGTCATTCGTTTCTATATTCATTGCCGAGTGTGGCTCGTTCAGTTTCATATCCTGTGGTACTCACTCAACATCGAATACGAGGCAATCGTAAAAATGTTCATTATCTATTCTTCACGAATCTTTGTGTGCATTAACGTTTTTCTGACGCAACGCAGTGCCGATAATTTACATGACGAACTATCTTGCAGTTTTCCGCAGCGTAGACTTACAGCTGCGACTCTGAGATACTGGTTCATTGCCAGTAGCATGCTTCACTTGAAACTCAGTTCACCTGCAAAACACGGCTGTGTACTGTAGGGTTGGTCAGTACACGAATTTCAATCGCTTCGCAGAACAATCTGAAATACAGTCTGATGAATCGGAGCAAAGCGAATTCAGTCCACCGGAATCCTGGAAACTGAACCGGCTTACATCTCCAAAGTGCTGAGATGCAGTGGATATCCTGAACGCATTACCAATGAAAAAGTAGTACAACAACCAGTCCGTCCGGCCAGCATGAGTGTGTGAAAGAAGCCTGTTTTGAGTGTGCGCTTTAAAAGTTTACACGCCCTCGCATTAGCTACTCTCAGATCCTGTTTCACTACTGACAGCAAGCTCCACTTAAAACTCAGAGCCAAGATGTCACTCCACACACAAAACATTGTTGTACACTCTATCCTTCAGTTGGACAGCAGAATGTATTTGGTGAACAACAAGGCAACTCAGGAAGAAAGTGTGAGAGCGCATTTCCTTCTTAGATGACCAGGTCCACCAGAATTGACACTGGCCAACACCCACGAAATGTTTGGAGTCATCTACCGGGCTCTGCGGACGTTGCTGAAGTCAATGTAATCGTGGAAGCTGTTGCATACGCCTACGCAATCCAATCTTGTGTCACCAGAGGCGCTTTGTGCGATCACTTAGCTTGTCTTGGCCCTGAAAACGACTAGTCACGTGTCGTTCAATCAGTTGAACTTATATCCGTTAGTTGGTAGCCCACATAACATTACTGGGCAAATCGTAACTCGCCTTGTAAATCTACGCTTATTTTGTTTACTTTTTTGACTGGAACCATCGAATAAGGATTGGCCTAGGGACGAGATTCCGAAGACGATTAGTCCGTTAATTATCTTTTTAATAACAAAATGAGGATATTCAAGTGATTGATGGTCACTGACCTACGTAGTTCCGAATTTTAAACAACTGAATCCCGGCTGAATCTCTTGTTTATGGTATGCGTCAATGAAAAGAGCTGCACACAGGCAACCTCAATTTCCAGTTGGTCCGATATTTAAGATATTGCAGTATTTTTTCTTGACAGAAACTCTTCACTAGGCTACCGAAAACTTCTTGACATACGTGTATCATTCTACAGGAATCTGGCAGCATATCCTAGCTGCCTGTGTGGAGAGAAGTGAATGAACAAAGATGGCACTGACTTTGCAGGTGATATCCATGTGGCACTGTGTCCACACAAGTTCGAAAATTTGTACAGCTTTACTTTAAGAGAAAAGGATTTATGCTCAATAGTCTATGCTGAGTCACAAAGAATCGTGTAAGGTTTTTGTGGATCTAAATTTTTTACAGCTTCAGAATAACTTTGTTGGCGGTTGTAGTACCCATACAAACTTTCAGCTTTGACCAAATCAGAGACAATTAGAATTTGAAATCCAGGTTAGGATAAGTAAGGCTGTTAGATAAAGTGCAAATATCGATGACATTATCATTCTTGTAGCATAGCTGGCAAGGATTTTGGATCTTAGCGTGGAGCACAACTGTGATATAATACGGTTGGATGGCTTGATGACAAAAAGACAACATTTCGAAAAAACAGCGTGCTTGGAGATAAGTGATATACACATCGAGCAGATAATGCTACACACTTTTACCAGCACAAAGTGTGGAAGAATTGTCGAACCTGCACAAACCGTATCTGTATTGTTCTCTGTGCGCTTGTAACGCCAACCGATTTGCATTGTACGTTTCTAACTCTTCCATCAGTCCATTCGTAATCTAACAGAATTTCATACACTTTATCGAAATAGATTCACTTTTTTGCAAATTCGCCAACAGCCCTGTATCCCTAGGCGACTTGCCAAACAAAACTACCCATAACCAATTGAAATAAACTTACAGCCTTCTGCCTTTGAATTTCTAAAATCTTCAGATCGAACAAACGATCCCTTTCTTTCTCCTCTTCTCGGTGCTTGCGCATGGCCTCGTTTGCCTCATTTAGGTCCATACGAATTTTGTTTTGCATTTGCCGTTTAACCTCTCGGTTTGCAATTTCTTTCATTAGTTCTTCGCTAATCCTCTGTTGCACCAGAGCGTTTTCTTGCTCATTTCGTTCGAGTTCCAGTAACCGATCCTGCCGATTTTGTTGAATCTGATTGAGGACTTCACAGGCTCCAAGCATCTCCTGTTGAAAAGTAAAGAACCAGAGGACTCAGTGATTGGTAATTATTTAGATGGTGATTAGTGGACTTGATGTGTATCCAAAATACTCTCACAGAGATGAAGTAATCTGGTTTATTGTATCACACTGTGAATAGCAGCATACTTGTGGTATGATTCTCTGCTGACTGCTTGAGTGACTATTGCTCGTCGGTTCCGCTACGCGTGATTCACATTCTCCGGGAACTTTAGTCGCAGGCGGCTTAATGTAAAACTATCTGGAATTGATACTCCAAGGTTATCACAACCTTTCTTAGACTTCATATACTGTGATGTCTCACTGATGTGATACATCATATACATATAGCAACGAGACGATATTTGATATGTGCCCAAAAAGGTCTTGGCTCACCATCGACAGAGGCTCAGCTGGAAGGTGATTCGGCTGAGTGCCAATTACAAAAGAGTAGGTTAGACCTCATCTTCATGCATTACTCACCGCCTATTGCGTCACTCCATGTATTGAAAATTATGAAAACTAAGATACTTCGATACCTGTTACCCAAATCTTTCAGCTATAGCACCCTTTTGATGCCTAAAAGCCATACTACCACAAGGAAGCACGGAGGCTGGGATACTTCTGGGTCGCCCAAGCCCACACAGGGGAATTCGAGAGGCAGAGGTCGGGTTCGAACTAAGGACCCTACGGTCAGTAACTCTGGGCTCTAACCACTGAACTTTCATGTCCTCTTCGACACGTGTAACAATTTAATACGGAGTTCTTCAAATTTCACAAGACGTAACATAAAGACCCACCTGTTCCTGTCTTTGTTTATCAATCTCCTCTTGAATACGGATAGCGTTTTGCCTTTCAAGTTCCATCATATTGTCCAATCTTAATTCCTCCTCATTCAACTCCTTTTGAATTTGTTTCTTCTCCAAAATCTGTTCATCACGGATTGCTTGTATTTTTGCGTTTAAAATCAATTCGTTCAAAGCCCGAATCTCATCTTCTTGATCCTGTCTTTGCTCCAAGGCCTTCTGCAGGAGAACTTCGGCTTGCTTCCGGGCTTCCTCTTCCAAATCTGTCAATTTTTCATTCTTCGTACGGGCCAAGTCATACTGGTGCATCTGTTCCTTTCGAGCCTGGGAAGCCGCCTGGTGCGGATAGAATATGCAGGAAACGGCAAGCACGCATTAATTATGGAAGCGCTTGTAATCTCCGAAAAATTGAGCCACATATGGAACTTCAGTCAGCGTAAAATTATCACCTAGTGAGTCTGAGAATGCACCGTGTGAAATATAAAACAATAGTTGCTGCCAGAGTAAGGGACAAGAATTTAGAGATTGGGACCAATTTTTACTCTGGTTCTCACCGAATCCTGCTGTATAAGCGATCCAAACGCTCAGCTTCTCTAACTCCCTCTTTATTAACTCAGGACTTGGCCAATCGCGCTTTCGCGTTGTAGTATTGCTGCTAGATTCGTAGATCAATTCATTCCTACCGATAATTTCATCGTCTGTTATAAAATTGAAGTTTTCAAAGACTGTTTAAGGACTAATCAAGAACGTGCAATGAAACAGCAAATTTCTTTCCAAGTCAAGCATAAAAATTCGGCCGCTGGGGAAATTTCCGATCATACGCACTGAGAATTTCTCAACTATCAGACGAGACCCCTTCTGCAATTCACGGAAGCAAATATGGTTCAAAATTCGCGAAATTTTGCTTTTATTTTTATTTTTTACCGCATATTCGTCAAAACTGGCTTTGTTGGATAAGACAAATTGGCCAAAAGGCACGACCCTTCAATCCGTTCTCACTGCCATTCATTTGTGCTTCACCAGCACACTGCGCAGTCATTATGACTGGTTTTGGATCGAACCGAAACGGGTCGTCACACATTTTAAAGAAGGAAATCTAAAGTTCTCGCTTTGTGTAATATTGACTGCTGCATACTAGACCCCAGCTGAAATGTAGAAGTGCGACACCATCATAGTATTGTTGTAAATTATCACTTTCACAACTTATTTTTAGGCGTGCGCAGCAATCTCTTGCACTGTTCAACTTGGCTCCACGGCAAACAAAGTTTATTTTGTGTGGTCCAAATTACCATCTTCCACATTGCTTGTAATATCCCGGACTTCTTAGATTAATAATAGCCAACAGGCAGGTTAAGGGTCGAAAGCTGGAAAACCACTGCAGAACTGCACGGATTATATATAATATGTGAAAATCAGGAAACAAAATGAAACCATTAAAGTGATAAGGTTACGCAGGTGCAAGTAGAATGAGACTGCTACTACCTTGCAAAGTTACCTGGGTATATGATTGAAGACGACGTGTTACTGCTGAGTTATTGGGTTGTAATGTGTTAATGAGCACAACTAAGGTTCGCGAACCTTTTTTAAAGCACTGATGAACACTTCATATTCGCCTCCCGGTAACATGTTTGTTTTCTTTTAAAAAACGTGGCGCAACTTCTTCGTTGTTTTTACCAGATCTATTGCAATGTTAAATGTGACCAGGTGCAACGGCGGTACCGAAATACGCATCTTTCAAGACGTAACGCTGATAATTTTGGTCCGTTCTAAGGGTATTCAATCTTGTGAACGGAAATGTTTTCTGTAACGTAGCACCTGCAGGCCAAACAGTTTAGCAGCTTTTGGATCCGTAAATTTGCGTTCAATACACATAGTGCCATACTTTGCATAAATGAAACTACTCATAAGATTGCTTAAAAAACGTCGACAGCCCACGACCGGTTTCGCCCTTCATGAGGCTCATCAGGTAAGCGCAGTCCACGAAATTCCGTTAACCTTGAACCCAGATTGGACTGTTTTCGAAAAATAAACTCGTTCGCTTATAAATTTGTTTTTGTGCGTGACTCAAGTGAGCCTCTTGTTTATGACGTTCTTTAAGTAGATGTTCTGTAAACAGGCCGCCTCAAATGGGTGCGTTTGTTGCCATTACCAGCAAACTCGACTGTGCTGGTCATTGCCGTCTTCCTGGATGGGGACCGCGAGACAGGCCATATCAGTGGTTAGAGACATTGTCAGACATGACCTAGTCGCGTTTTCAATGGTGCCGGTGCATCCAAGCCATTGCTTTTAATGCATAGCTCCATTCCCAATCCCCCACTTAACGGTCCATCTATCCACCTCCAGTGCTGTATTTACGCACTTATTTCCTTTGTGAAAATATACCGCGATATCTCGAACATCGTACGAACTGAAACAGAAGGCGGCCTGTGTGCAGCACATTTGGTCAAAGAACACCATACAGGAGAGATTCACTTGAATCTCCTGTAAAAACCAAATTGATTTGCAAATGAGTACACTAATACCTTACTCTTAACAGGCAGCACACTCAGAAGTCGATAATACTCGGCGTACTGAAAGCATTGTCAGTAGCGTGTAATTTTCAGGATAACAGTCGGATAAGGTTCTAGCATCAACTCAGAAATATTTGTGCGCGGAAATTTGTAGCCCGCCTCATCTGTGAGAAAATACGATCCAATAAACTATTGTAATCCATGATAGTATATGATTCGCTTGCTGTCAGCTAGAGACAAATGAATGAAGTCTGCAGCGAACAAACACTCAGCACAGGATATTTATTTTAACGTCAAGAGAGATGTTTATGGGAATTTACTAACTTCGAAATTCCGGTGTCCCAGGTTCATTCCTTACGCGTATCAGTGACCTCTATCTTGGAATAGTATTCTCAAAAAGTTTCCGGAAAGCCATTCCCGTCTAGTTGACAACAATTAGTGGTATCCTACAAGGTCCATCATTATGTATTCTATTGAATAACTATCAACCTTTACTGATTTTTCACGATATCTGACACACGCCGGTAGTTTTCTAATACAAAAAAGTCAAAACAAACTAACATGATTTTGAATTGTACCATGCTTTGATGTAGAACAAAAGGAGAGAGTGGAGAAACTTATTCAGTTGGTGGTTGGATTATTCACCGAGTTTGATCATTTTGTTTAAAAAGCCTCGTTATCATTCGAGGTGATATTGTGAGTGCGTTGTGATCGCGCTGTGGTCGCGCGTCAGCTTTTAGCCACTTCGCAAAGACGAAGTCACAAACTCAGTTAAATCAACCACTTGCGAGGTATACCGGAGAACTACAGGAAAAGTGAAAGACGGAGAAACTTCCAAGTGCTAGTATAAAGTGTTGATTGTCACACATTATTCAGAGTGGAGTGTTTTACGCCTTTCATCCATAGTGCCTGTAAATGTCCCAGAGTAATTCATTCTAAAAACATCTGAGCCTACGCAGAATAAATTTAAACCCAACAGGAGAGACAGAAGAGAAAGGAAATTTGGATATCCGAACGCTGTACGCACTCAACCACCTCCATAATACACTAGAGGTTCATTTTATCCCTTGTTTTCACTGGAAAAATACTACTAACTACCAGAATTAGGTCAGAATATCAGCCAAACTATTCAGAAACCCGGAAAGGATTGAACACGATCCTTCAAACAAGGGTCGAACCCAAAACCTATGCAGTTATTTTTTAGAGTGATGTAGAATAAGTCGAACCCCCGTTTTCGCTTAACATTGGCATTACTAGGCAGTAACATCGTTCATTAGAACATAAAGTAACGGGGACAAAAGATACGGGTACTATAAAGGCCTTCCCAATTTACCACTTTAACCTGAAGTTTTCTGCCAACCGATACGAAACAGCAAGCTGAATTGAACCAAAATCTGAAGTAAATGTGAAGTTATGAGTGGAACTTTCCACCTTGTGTTACAACAAACATACACTAAAATATAAAGCAAAATTTCACTTTACATTTAGTCATCCAAAGCTGAGTGATGACTAATCACTGGCAACTGTTAAGTTTCACTTTCCTGCTTTCTAGTATGAGGGCTACGCCGAACTGAGTCCTACAAGTTATTGTCCCTAACTCTGTTTTACTGATCAATTCAATTTTATATTGATAATCTGATTTTCTTTTGTCTGATTGTTGTCTCCGCTTTAGTGCCTAGTGACGGAAAAAGACTCGCTGACAAGGAACGCAGCAGCTTTATCGCAACGAGCAAGGTACGTACAAGGGTAAAGGTACAACGGCTTTGCGCTATATATTGGGATATCACTGGTTAACATTGGTCTTAGACTGTCTTACACTGTCCAGATTTGATCTAGAACTGTCTCGCACTATATGACTAGCTTTCACTGTAGTTGAGAATCTCAGTAGTTTTAGGGGTTTATTGAGATAATCTTTAAGAATCTGAACTTTCTGATGGATTTTATTCACGAATAATACGTGCATTTAACCGGTGGTCCGCTATGATTAGTATGACTCAGATTTGGATGGATTAAGAGAAACGAATTAGATGGCTGGTTTAACTTTGTTGTGCTTTAAAACCAGACCAGCTGGTTTGTTTGTAAACTAGAAGTATTTTTAAGGTGGAAGTTATCACTAAAGTGTTCATCATCCATACATCTTAAGGTCGATCATCCTGCAATTAGATTTCAGAAATCGAGAGCGTTGCTAGTGAGTTCTTCAACCATATCTTTTATAACTTGTAACATGCGAGGTTGTCAACTGTGCTTAGTTTAAGAATACGCTGTCTTTCATTGTTGTTCACCAGTAGCCAAAACCTTGTAAACCACTATTATGCCATATATAAATTAGCCTAAAAGTTTATCATTCCGTTATTTACCAAGATTCCGCACCCTACCTTTAAACTATTGAACACACTGTTCCTGTACTTGAAAGTTCGAACTCGATATAGATATAGGTATAAAATATAAGATGTATAATAACGATAAAGACCTTGAAAAGTGTAGATCTGAGTACTGATATCTAGAGCAATAAACGTTTTTGGACCTTTCTGTTAAACCCAGCCCAACCCTCAGGAAAAGAGGGAAAAGCTATGATCACCCACAAATTCTACATTTTAGTCTTGAAGATGAGCGAATGAGTGTTCAATTGATATTGTTTATGTATTTTAGCCACCTAATCAGAATTACCTCTTGAGACAACTCACCATAATCATCTACTTTTTTCATGGTTTCATGAATTTCGGGGTTTTGAATTTTGTCATCACTTTGTATGGTTCTTCATCTTGATTTCAGTGAGCACATAAAATTGTACAGATTAGGTTTCTTCTGATGCCTTGGCAATTTTTATAATTCAGTCTATTGGCAATTTGCAGGTGCACTACTCTGATCTGTGTGATAGAATGATTGCCATTCGGTTAACATGGGAATATAAAAGCATTCAATTTGCTTTAGTTGAACGGCTGTATAGCTAACATCAGTTTGACTGCTGTTACGTTCACCAATATTGTGCTTGTTCTTTTGCCAAAGTGGATATTTCATCCTACCCAAAACTCGTGACTAATCCGGGCGCTGTAATGGCTACATAAAATCTGCTTTTTCAAGCAGTTATTACGTCGACGGTGACCGATTAATCTGTACAGGAAACTTTAAGGTCTCCTCCGCACTGTGCTTTCTATCAGATATGACTATGGTAGTCTTCAAAACAGCCGGTTCTTCCTTCGGAATCATAAAATCATTTGAGTTAAGAGTTAGCAATTTTAGGTCTAGATACAATTAATCAGAAAATTTGTAGCTCTTGTTGTTATTACTATTGCAGCTGGTGACGAAGCGTTTGAAAACAGATTGCTAAACTTTGTAAAAGAATCAACAGCTACCTGAGCTAACACCAAACTGTGAACCCTTCGTAGACAAGTAATAATCGCCCAAAACAAAGCAATGTATGCGATTTCTTTGGGCAGACACATTATAATAAAATGTTTCATCTTCTCATCCAACAAACAATGAGTAGTATATGCAGTGATGTGTTGCATTTCCTTCTGAACCACCTAATGGAAATGTAGAAATCCGGCCATGACCTATGTTTTCTCCTACTGCCTTTTCAGGCACGGGTCTTAGAATTGTGTAGGCTAAAGGTAGCAGTGGTTTGTTTTTAGCTCTGGTTTGCCCTGCTAATATTAATTACAGTGTCAGGAGGCAGAAAACTGATAGTAGTCTGTACTTATTATTGCCTCATAGATCAATGTTTCACGATAAAACCATAAATTTTCATTCACTCCCGAGCTGTTTGCTTTGACCAAAGTCATTTTTATCACCCTCCGTGTTTTCAAACCTGACGACGTAGGTCAGGACATAGTGTGTAACTTGTCATGCATAGGGGCAATACGCCCCCTCATGCCACCTCATACATGTACTGTCAATCAGGTTAAGGAGAGTAGATGAAACGGCCGAAAGCTAGAGAAATACTCGTCCGCACCTTGAGGGAGCTGATTGGCTAAGGTGTCAGCTTAATGATCTAAAGGTCTCCAGTTCGAACTCAATTCATAATTTTCAGCTGCTCTTTTCTGGGATCGGGTATCCTGAAAGTATCGCGGCCCTCGAACTCCCCTATATTACGGAGGGCGGTGTGCACCAAAAAGTAATCACAACTGTTTCAGAGTAAACATTAGGTCCATCATTGTCCGCCTACACCCAGGAGTATGCAGAACAATGTTCAAGGGGAAATCAGTTTTGTTTGAATCTGGTTTAAAGTACCATTAGCCGTTCGATTGTGTGGGATTTGAGTTTTTATCTGACTGCGAAAATTGGAGTATTTACTTAGTGCAAATAGAGAAACTACATTGAAAATACACTAGAGAGCATTTCGAAGACTTCTGCTCGGCAAAAATATCCCAGCCTTCTGGGGCGGATTAGGCACAACAAAGAATACCTTGAACTGCTGCTCTTTCCGGAGATAAGGACAACCAAATTGTTCCACCGTCACATCAACAACGCAGGGATTAAGATTTGGGCAGCCGTTATTATTATACGTATTATCTTATTCTCAGAAACTCAACGAACGTAGATGGAACATTCCAGGGCGCGAAATCATCAGTGTGTAGCCAGGCTCCGAGGCCTGAGTGTGTTTGTCAGCTGTCCGGAACATTAGCGATGAAGCCGGGATCACAAGGACCTAATCGAAACCGAAGAATTAATGTCTGCACAATAAGACCTAAGCGTGGCAGAACTGGGAAGGCACTAGCTAGCGGCTGAAGACCCAGAAGACCTGAAACAGGTTTCGAAGAGCTCCGACGAACTCGCTCGAGCACCTTTTCGGAAATTCAGCATCACTCTAGTCAGATAACGATTTGAAGATAATAGGCGGAATTAATGTCATGGATTTTTTGTCTTTTAATTAAGTTACCCTTCATTCTCTTAAGTTAGTATATACTCGGTATAATCGTCATTAGTTCAAGTGTTTTACGACTTCTGTATCTTTTTTCTCACATCGAAAACCAGCCATATTGTTTTAGAAAATCTCCTAAGAGTTGTTACTCCTGAATTTCTCTCGGTTTTGGGCCGCAGGTCAAAATTCGTGTCACGTACCGCTTACCAAATTATGGAAGAAGGATTCCGAAATAATTTCTGAGTACAAGAAACTTACGGCGTTTGCTTCGTTCAGCTCTTTCGCTCTCCTTGCCGCTTCCTTTTCATCTGCTTCAGTGATGATTTTCGCTTTTTGCGTCAATTCGTCATATTTGTCCTTCGTGAGAATGATCGATTTTGCGTTTGGTTCATCCGATGGGACTCTAAAAAGGTATGATACCGTGGAGATCCTTACATGAGCTCACGGATAAGGTCAGAAGCAACATGTCTTATGCGCTTATTCTTCAAAAATATGCGCTCCCGTTCGCATTCTTGCTTCGAAAGGGAAGGACGTGATACAATTATTTCGGGTTCCTGCTCTTCGCTGCCACAGATCCACCCACTTCGATTGTTCTTAATGTGTCTGTTTATTCTTATTTGTTAGGATTATCCCACCTGTTTATCTTTAAGACGTTGCGGATCTCCAAACAGGCCCTCATCCACAACAGATTTCTTGTCAACAGTTCGATAATTTGAGGCCTTTGTTTTCTTTGAGCTCAATGACCCCGAAGAGTTGTGGCTAGTTGCATGACTTTTGGCGCTGTGGACACTACTTGAAGGCTGGAGTCTTTATGAAAATCGTAACGGAACGCACCATCCTGTACCGCCAAATTTCTATGCCAACCAGATTTTGATTCAGTAAAACTGACAACAGTTCATCCTGGTGGCTTCCAACCACCGGGAAAATAGTCACTGGATCGTCAAGATTGTTTGACATGGTACTCGCGGACCCAGACCTGATGCGTGGCAATTTGGAAGGGTTCAGTTCTCTGCTGAATCACGAGAGACCGTGTGCTCGGATAAGTGGCACTACGTAGCAGGTAGATATTTGAAGTCATCACTTGAAACACCTAGAGCCACCGCGTCCATTCCAGATCCCCGTTATCAAATAGGTCAATTTTTGCGTCTCACCTGCTTATTTAAACAGCGCGTCGAGTGATTTTGTGTGGCTTCACGAATGCGGTGGTGTGCTTTGAGTGGAGTACGACATTGGTCATTTTAGCCACACCTTTTGTCCGAAGACAAAAAACATATCAGCTCCAATTTTCCAAGTTGTTGTAGTGATTGACGGCACGCACTGTACTAGTGAGTGATTCTACTCAGACCATATGAGTATTACTATGTGAGCAAAAGCTGTTCACCTTTCTTATGACGAATGGTACGAGGAATGTGTGACTTCTAACCGTCTTCCCAACCCGTTCAGGTTGCTCAGGTACATGATGGGCGGGGGGACCAAATTAAGACATCCGTGATGGATACTAATAATTGTCATTATAATAATATTAACAGGCTTATATTCCAGCTTGTAGGAAACATGCCAATTGAGGTATAATCGGATCAGGGGTGTGGGCTGTCAAGGCTGTTCAACTGTGACATGATGGTGTGCTGCTTTCAGGCACATCTAAATCATTAAGAAGCACGTACATTCTGTGAACAGAATGTACAGAATACTAACGCCAAAAGTAGTTGATACATATTCTACAGTATGGCCTGTTTGGATGCCGCATCTGAGTAACTTTTCAGCGAATGATAACCACGTATATTTCTTAATGATTTGAAAATTCCACAAAAAATAACAGCGGCTGTGCCTCGTATCTAAGTTTCCACTGGTTATTCACGGGTCGCACGTGCGCCATTTGCACTCAGCGTGCGATGGTTCACTTCGGAAGTGCCACATCATTTTACTGAACACAGTCGTGCGTTGCTTGTTGGTCTTTTCGCCGAGCTTGGCTGTTTCGTCACCAATCTAGGTGACATCGTAAGTGCGGGGTTGACGACGATGTCACCACGATTGGTGATGAAACGTTTGCAATCTAACTTCCGAGCCCGGAGGATAGATCGACAGCAATTCGGCGCACCCAAGCTTATTATATTTCACGACATTGCCAATAGGCGTCCGTCTGGGAGGACGTGTTCGCTTCGCCAATATCATGGAACATACTAACCAGAAGATCTTTCCTCGCTCTGGCAACTCATGCGTGAATATAACATGCACACCAATTACAACCTTGGCCTGAGAGGCATTCGACAACTGATGGGAATTCGCTGGCCTATGGGTTGGGTTATCATATATAGGTAAGATCTCATAGTGCGTGACGTGCATAGGTGCGGGCCTAGCTGTGAATAGAAGCCGCTAAGGTAAGCCGCAACGCATTCAGCAATAATGAATGGGGGTCATCGGCGGCTATGTCCTCTGGCTGTTCGTTGTGCTTTCTGAAATACTTGAGCCTACCGACGTTACGCATTCCACCTGAAAATGTCTCACTCCAGAATTGTTGCAACTAGCGTGCAAATTTCTGGGGAATCTTGCACTGTCCTCCGAGCCAGTGCACGTGATACCGGCGGAGACCATGAAGTTTACTTTGGCTAATCAAATGAAGTGGAGTGGTACAAAATTATTCAAGCAAAGTGGGGCGATTGCGGAGTCTATCCAGCGTCGATGTACACCATATATTTGAGTCGAAGGCCGTCATTTGCGCATGCTGGGAATTTCTTCTCCTTATCAACTCCGCTTACGTTTGAGGTGGAACAACCTATCAACTCAGTTGCCACAGGTTACCGAATTTCAGAATTTTTTTCAGTTTTAGCTTATATGAACCGGTTTCATCATTGAAATATTTGTACGTCTCGTATCTAATTGTTCGTATTCTTTGTTTTCGGCCATTTCCATTAACTTATCATGCGATAACAACAGTTACTTGGCCTTGCCCTCTCACCCGTTTTGTTCCCGGCCTACCTTTCCAAATTTGACTGGCTTGATCATACACTATTTGGGAATAATATCCTCATTGTTGGCGTCCGACAACTTCACCACCTGTGTAATAACACGATTTTCTCCACAATTCAATCAGTTTTACGACAGCTCCATGACGTCACAAAGGAGAGAAAGCCCACTGCTATGACCAGGCAAACTAACCCAGTGCACTCACTGACGCTTTTGCGGAGGCGAAGGTACAAAATTAAATGGGGTTCTTTTGTAAATATTTAGCACTCATCTCAACAGTAGCTTGACGATTACCCTTCGTTGCCCTGCGTCATCAAAGTTTCAGGGCAAATACCGTCTTCTTCGAGTATTCAGATCCTTTTTCATTCTTCTCTATGTATCAGGATAACAAGCAAACCAGCGTGTAAAACCAAACAGCTCAATCGTTTGCTCCACTTGTCTGATTTGATAAACCAGCTCATTTCTCAAATACACCATGCCGTGTACATGGTGGACAAGCTAAATTCACTACTCACAGGACCATAAGGCATCCGTGAGATAAAGTTCTTGAGCCCGCAGACAGTGAATGGCGGCACCAACAGTATGCCTTGCCGATGACTACTTTTTCTTAAATTTCGCCTTCGAAATCCATTCAAACTGGCGCTTTCCACGGCTAATATATACTCAATATGATCATCTGTAATATGTTTCCAATTTTTCTCTCCCATGACCGTTTGAGCATTATACAACTGGACTGCTCCCTCCCGTGCAAAAATATTGACAAGACACCCAATGCTAACAGTACACAACACCTTACCGATTGAAAGCACGGTGGTCTTGAAAAACGAAATTTCTTACTCTCGACGAACGGTAAGACATCCAAGCGAAGTCTTACCACACGCTCGCGCACTACCGTAGCATATAGTCCCGAAGGAGTCCGAAGATCGGCACCTATGAGACAGTTACCTGGCATTGGGCGGCCGTACCATCGCAGCTCACCGTCAAATACCACATATTTTGCCCATCAAGGTCAGGCCGAACGGAACTCATGCTCTTGAAAAAGGGCTGAGTACGATCCAGATGGCTCTTGATGACGTCCCGAGTGTAGATGTAATAAAGCCCCCTCCATCACGCATTCCTATACATGCCATTTGAACTTTACGATGCGGCACCAGACTTTAAAAGCTTTCTCAAACAAAAAATAGGCTTTGTGCGCCCAATCGTTAATGACCTTGCAGTAATGAATTTGCTAGAAGGGGAACACGCGATATAGTCGATTACCTGTAATCCCGACTAGCAAATTTTTCACAGTATACGAAACCGGTCAGCCATCCAGCGCTCCCCAATTATGACAGAATCGCCTATAAAAGCCACACGTATTCCCGAAAAAGAGAACATGGTGTCAAACATTTTCACGAGTGTCAGGTGCCAGCTCAGATACGAACAGTTATGGCACCATCACCGCGGCCCAGAGGGCCAAAATTTCCTGTTGCTTTTATTCACTTATCATTTCAAGAAGTTGACCAACCGTTGTAAAATTCCAGTGGCGTCATTGTTGGGCATTCTGGCAACACTTTGCATGGAGCAACCTATCCCTGAATTTAAGCCACAGTCAACCAGATCCGGTGCGGTATGCGGAGAATCATACGTGTGTGGACTCTTTGACAACAATAGGCTAAATTCAACTGCAATTTGTTTCTTTTTGGTCATTCCTTGCCCACTCGTGGCTCCTGTCCACATGGACCCAGCAGGGCGGTTACTCCATCAAACGGTATGGTCTGGTGCCTGGTCACTATCGACCAAAGACTCCTTCTGCCTGAAGACGGCCATTGGTTCCGAGGCTGTTATCCGAGTATTTGAGAACATCGTGGTCCTGCCTACAGCGTTCTAAACGCAGTCACGCCGATAGAGGTTCACAGCCCGAGGTTACTCTGTTCTCACAAACTCGTAACACATTGTGCCCTAGTCACAAATGTACTATAGCCTGCGATGTTATGCATGCGCGGATATTTTTCGCAAATTTTCGCACACTTTTGCTATGCACTTTGAGTTCAAATACCGCAGCATAGGCCCGATTTCGTTCTCCTCGGTCTGGTCCATCGTTGCTCCTCCTGTGCTCCCGAAGATGACCTATTCCCAATATGGACCATTGAGCAACTCTACTCTAGCCATCACGTCACCCATTTCCCGTTGGTGCGTAATTTCAACGCTCGAAGGCCCCCCTTGATAGAGCTCCAGCGTGTCGGATCTTCTGCCATTGGGCCGGAAATACCACGCCTCAAACGTGGATTCAAAACTTACACAGTACAGGCCTTTCAGGAAAACAGACATCAAAACAAACATCGCCCGGAAAACCAGAAATCCGCTGTTTAAGTACATGAGACTGAGGCCGTTGAAATAACCCAACGGCCGTCCCTCAGAAGGACAGGAACGTCAAACCCACGGGGGACAAAACAGTGGTATCTGCAGTCTAAAGAGAACATTGTGCAGGTCTCTATTCGGCCCCAGCTTACTCGTCAAATCCAAGCTTGCCAAGACGTAACTGCGGAAACACCTAACTGAGAGGGTCCTAACGGCATAGAACATTCGCCAACTCTTGCAAAATATAGGGCCATTCTGTGCTTAGGAGCCAAACGATGTCCATCCAAGGATCCTGAAGCAAACGTTGTTTACACCGGTAAACCAATTTTATCTGGTCAGTCGCTTGACGGAGGCCCCCTTTCCCCTGCTTGAAGGATGGCCGTTGTTAACGCTGCCCAATGAACCACACACCCCAGCCGAAAGATCTCAAATTCGACGTCTGTCACGGGGCTGTCCAAAAACTGAAGCACGTCAGGCCAATGATGGCACGGCACT